GCCACCCCGGCTATTACGTCGGCCAGCTCAGGCAGGGCCGTTGATACATAGCAGGGAGCCAGGTATATAATCAACAGGCCCACTTGAACCCCCTGCCCCCACTTCACAAGGAGGGACTCTCCACCATCTATCTGAGGCACAGTGGTCTCCCTCGGACATAGATTCTCCCTTATAATGACCGCTACCCCACCGCCCCTACTCTGGGTCCTTGGCTGATGGAATACCTGGAAACCTGGCGGGCAGATGTCAACGAGGGGCACTCCCCCTTCCGTGCCCAACCAGGTCTCGGTGATACCTGCCAGGTCCGCACCCCCCTCTTGGATAAGATCTTATAAGGCCTTTAAGGCATTTTTCTCCCTCCAACGATACGTAACGTGGTCTTGTGATCCCATCAGGATTGTTTATTATTGTTTGGAAGAATTTGCTATATTTGCTAAATGTTTATAGTGTTACTGCTATTTTGATTATATGTCACACTTAGTCATGTTGAGATTATATAACTTGACTAAATAAATAAATCACAATTTCTGAAAATAATTTGCTCCAAAGTCAGAAAATAGTGTGCCTGTGAATGCATTTCTTAAGTGCCTTTAAGTGTGGTAGCTCATAGCAAACTTGCTTGAACCAATGGAGCCAAGCCTACCTTCCAGAAATGTTGCTGGTGAGTCTCCAAAATCATGCTTCCAAAAACCATAATCCGAACTATAATTGTACATTTGCTATAATTGTATTCTTCTCTTTCTTGTGGACTCAATAACATATCATCTTTGGATGCACTGCTAAAACATTGCTCTGCACCAGATATATTGCACAAGGCAATTTTACCAAGGAAGAACTCCAGTGATTTTAAGAATGAAGACCCTGTATTTGTAGCTTTAAACAAATATAAAAGAAATGTTAAAAACACAGCCATCACAATTTTTACTCCAGAATTCACAAGAACTTTCAAAAATCATTACATCAATATACTGTATATTATTTGAAAAAGTAGGCCTTTGCAATGGCCAACATCAAATATTGACCTTGTAAAAACAGGAATAAAATATATAATTGGAAAGTTCTTTGATAATAAGACTGACATACTTTTTGGCAAAGTAAAGCATATAAAGAAGAGATCTTCTATACTGCAAATCCTCCTGGTGCAACAGTGTCATAGTGCAGAACTTCAGAAAGGAAAACCTACTTCCCTGAAGGCCCTTTCCTTTGCCCCAATAATCCAACTGTTGTATATCAGGTTACAATTATCATTCCCTGCCTTCGTTAGAGAGAATTCTTCATCCCTGCAAGGCATTTCATCCTTTCCATACAGAAAATTAAAAACCTTGACATCCTTGAAACCACTCAGTCTAAGTTTATTACAAATATCCTTATCGTTCCAAAATGCATTTAAAATACTGCACTTCATTTAGAGACAGCTTGTTTCTGTGGATATTAAAGACTGGCATCCAATGTTTAGTTGAGTCATCCTTTTCTTCAGTGGATCCTGCTCCATTGGCTCCCAGTGTCCAGTTTAAGTTCACCCAGCTAAAAAAGGTACATAGGCAAGATTCATTTCCTAAGAAATGAATGAGTTGTGTGCCCATCAGTTTTTCTAATGTCAGAAATATGTGGGACATTGGTTTCAAATCTGTAAAACTGGCCCCTAGTCCTAGAACCTGCGGAGGAGGTTGTCAAATACAACTCTGCCAGTCTGCTTATCTCTCATCTTTCACACTCCTGAAATTCTGCCAGGCCTGCATTTTAGGCAAGCTGAATGCATTGCCTTCTGCTAGTCATTTGGGTTTTTACAAAATATTCCTATTCAGCAAAGCCAATACTTTTGTGGGGAGAGCTCTTAATAGTTCTTGAGCCAAAAAATCCTCTCATTACTCTCTCCACAGGAATACCAAATGACTTTATATATTCTATCCAGAATTGACCAATATTTTAAGATAAAATTTTTATCTTAAATTTTAAGATAAAAAAACCTGACTTCTATTTCTCACTTCTGCTATATGATCAATATTGGTCACATCCTTTAGAATTGCTTCTTCTTAGGCATGAAGATTTGCACTAATTTCCTTATTTTTTAACTTTCCATAGTGAAAAAGCTGAAACAGGAAAAGATATAGTAAAAACAGTGCTTGATGCTGCAGGCATGTCCAACTTCCTTGGTGTTGGGACAAGAAAATGCTCCTAAATGAAGGGGGAAACTCTAGGATTTTCTGTATATTGGTCAATAGATTATAAAAATTCTATCAAAAATAATTTATTTAAAATTAAAAATGATCTTAAACTCATTTTCACATCTGTAGTTATGTAATTTCTTCTAATGAATTTGGGATGACAATCATAATGCAAACTGATTCGACCATCTACCTACCTAAGATCTCATTTGGTTTTATCATTCCTTGTTCAATAAAGGTATTGTAACAGTCTAAAGCAGCTAGAAGCATATCCATCCATTGTACAACAGCTCGCAAACTAAAGCTCCCTTGCAATTCATAGAGGGTTGAATGAGATAAGATTCCAGAGACATTTTCACCCTCACATCCTCCTCCTTCAAATTTCTTTATGAGAAAATAGATTCCTTCTTTCTGAAGAACATCACCCAACCATGAAGATGGAGATGGGTTTCCTGTCAGAGAAGCAAACAGATTAAAGACTCTAGATAAATTTGTTACAATTCAATTCAATGCTTAACAAAAACAAAAACCAAATATATATATATATATATATTATTATAAAAATGGGAGAAAACTATAAAAAACATTTGCATCACTTACCATTGCAGCCATGCCTCCCATGAATCAACAACTGCCTTGCTTCACTGACCCACTTCTGCCACATCCCCCGGCCTGCATTTTGCCATCAGAGGCCTTTCCAGAAGGCCTGATGACAAAATGCAGGACAAGGGATGCCATGTGCATCAATCCAAAGCTCCATTCTCAGCTGCAGAGGCATTTCCTTCAGCTGCAGAAGAAGTGGGTCAGCTGGGCGGGGCTGTTGGTACCGCAGCCATGAGATAAGATCATGGAAAAGACACCCACGAAAATAAGACCTGGTGCCTCTTTTGGAGGCAAAAAATAATAATAAGACTGGGTCTTATTTTCGGGGAAACACGGTAATAAATGAATATTGCTAAGTAAGCAAAGGATTTGATTTTCTTTGGATGATAATACAATTTTTAATAATTATAGAAAACGGTAGTAACATTTTGAGGTTATTGAACCATTCTACCAATGTAAATAAAACTTAAGTAACCTCATGGTACGCAGAACACAATTTTACAACCAGTCCACATGCTTTCAGAATGTATTCACATGAGGAAAGTAAAATTAATTGCTAAACTCCCAAAAGTGACATTTTTCAAAAGGAATTACAACACAGTGCAAAAGTCAGTATATCATGCTAGCAACAGACTATTTACACACTTTGTAATATACATACCTGGCAACAAGGGAACAAATTCAAAGAAAAGTTCCATGACTTTGTGCCGGCACTCTGTTTGGGGTTGTCCACACTGTCTTAAAAGCCACATGACAACATCCTCTAAACAAATAGATCTAGATGGAAATCCCCTGCAGGAATGTATTAAATCAAAGTCTGAAATTACCAAACAGTTGTCTGCTCTGCTTCTGCATTTATATATAAACGTAAGATTTCAAATGTTCTACCAATAAGAGAATCAACAGATTCATATGTGTAAGAACTTTATACTGTAGTCAGATTTTGCCATGTGTTGCATTTTAATCTCCAGTACTAAATATTATACTTAATATTAAAATATTAATTTGTCCTCCTGACTGAAAAATAAATCAATAATTAGTAACTTTGTTTATTCCCCCATGCCATATATCAAATCAAACACTGTTTCATTTTTTATATTTGTGACAGAATTGTACTCTCCTACATGTCCAGTTGCCTTCTGAAAAAGCATATTTAGGACAACCATGACCTGGATGACTGGGAATCTCCATAGACTGGACTTAGAGGTTTATCCAGGTCAATTATTCTGGATGCCCACTTTAGCTGCAAGTAAATTTAGGGAACAAATTCAAAAATTATAGAATGCTGAAATATATTCAGTTAGATTATAATAGTGTTTCCTCAGAAGAAAAATCACTAAAACTAATATCTATGTAATGTTCCATCTGAATTGATAAAGAAATTAATACTAACCGAGGCAATCTCCGATTGCTTTTTTTGTTCAAAGTAGACGCTTTTTGCTTAATGATACGCTTGAGGTGATCAACAGCATCACAGCACTGTTGAACTGTACCTATTTTCAAACGAAGAAAAAATATTGTGACTGCTTCCAAATAATATTTTGAACAGAAATGACCCTTAATTGGTTTTACAATGATAAAATACACATTATTTGAATTACTCTCTAGCTTTGCTGATACTATATAAGGACTATTAAACATTTTTTTTATTCTCTGCCAAGTTGGTAACCTTTAAGGTTTTCTGAGAATAAGAAACAGAACCACAAATAATATCTCTTCCATATGCTTTGTCTGAGAAGGTAATCTGAAATCTGATAGTGAAGACATTTCCTGGTGAAAATTGGATTCAGTCTATGTTTAATCAAAAAAGTTGCAATATCTAGTCCAATTTTTAATAGTTGTAGTTTTCCCCCATTTTGGAGAACAAAAAATCTTGAACATGCCTCACTTAGTTTGACTGTTTATAATAAAAGTATTACATAATAAAAGCTTTAAAAACTTGACTATATACTTAGACCTGGGGCTCAGAATGTGTCAAGGGCTCTGTTTCTTGGTTTTACTATTAGTTGATTAATCATCTCAGCTGATGTTTGTATTTATTTATTTTGAGTATATTTTGACTATTTTAATATGTTGTTTTACAATTATAGAATTGTAATACATAATTTACTAAAATGTAGCACTTAAAAGAACATAATACTGAAGTAATTAATACAAAATATGAACCATACAAAAAGTATTTGAAGTATATTTTTTAAAGCATTCTTCCAAAATTGTCTGTCAATACATTTCTATAATAAAATTTCATAGAAACATTCTAACTGCTCAAAACAGAAACATTTCATTAGAAAACTATTAAAATATATAGGCCTGAAGTTTTTAAAGAATCCTGAAACACCAAATGTAAACCTAATCCAACAAAAGCTGTTAATATCACCTAAAGACTTCTCATCTCCATGTGTCAAGGCCAGACTTTCCAGATATACAACTAATGCTTCAAAAACAAACTGGTCCACCAGAGCATTCTCTTCTCTATGAAACAAAGGGAAAACATATTAAGCTTATTATGTGGGAACTATTTACAGCTAATGCACTGTAAAAAATGGTATTGTTTCAGATGGTTCAAAACTGTTTAGAATACAGGTAAATAATAACAATTTGATCTCTGCCGAAATAAACATGAGTTATTAACTGGATTCTACTAAAAATGAACAAACACCACAGCTATGAAACCCAATGCCAATCATGGCAAACAATCCAGATTTTAATAACTATGAACACAGCAAAACTGTTGCAAAATTTAATAAAGCATTTTGTTTATTTATTTGATTTTGTCCTTTGAATTCAAATATCTTGCACCCAATAACATAACACGTTGTGGCAATGTGTTGTCCTCAGATTTGCAAATACTTAATATCCCACAATACTTTTAATAGTATTTTAAAGTGCATTTGATAGAAACTGCACAAACACTCGTACATCATTGTATTGCTTGATTCAGCTATTAATTTATTCACTGCTCACCTAAACTCTCGGTAAATGTTATTGAAAGCAAGTGCAGCTCCTAGCCGTTTGAAAGCATTAGGATGGAGAGCAAGGCTGTACAGCCTCTTAAAAAGAGATTTTGTGTTCACTGGACTTTTCTCTTGCTGCTGTGGAGTAGTTTGCTTAATGGACCATTTCAAAAATTCATGGACACATTGACCACAAAAGTCTCTCAAAGCGCTGTCTACAGGATCCACTATACCATCCTGAAACAGAGAACAATCTTGATTCACTGTGCTTCAGAGTTCACTTATGCAACACAAAATGAAATGGAAAGTAAATAATTACAAATGACAGCAAAAATTGGCTATTTAACTTTTACAAGTAAGCTGCTCCAAGAGAAATGTTTGGCTTAATAACAGGGAATTTTTTTAAACACAAAAAAGGATTTTCTAGTTGGTTGAAATCAACAATCAATTAATTAACTTCTATAAAAAAACAGAAGTCAACATAAAATAAACACTGCACCATGAGACCATATTTAAATTGCATTATAACTAGCAGAGAAAAGAACCATTAACCTCAAAATTGGAATGTATATAAACCAAATTTTACAGTTTTGGGAAAACAAAAAGGTCTACATAAAGCTTAAGAGTTCCTAACACAGAATTACAATTAAGTATTTCTGGGAAGCTTATTTCCCAATTCAGAACCTGACCACCTAAAAAGCTTTGCCTTTCTCCTTCCCATTAGACATGGAACCTAATGAAGAGTTCCCGATGAAAAACTTAGTGTTCAGACAACTGAGGAACTGAAAACTAATTGAGAAAATCTGAAAAATTAGACTGGTAAATTACAATTTTGACAGAAATATTTATAATTTATCTTAATCAACAATCACTTACCAAAATTGCTTCCAGTAGTGTCACAGTATCTTGACTTTCAAACTTTTTATTGTTTGTGAACCAATGAATTAATTCCATTACTAAAGTGCCATAGAGTTGCCTTGTAACCTAAAAATGAAACATTAGTTTATTCTACATTTTAGATTTATAATTATGCTGTAGAAAGTTTCTCACAAAGTGATTCTAATGTTTGTTGGACCTTTTAAAAAACACATACTCACAACTTGATTTCATATAGTTTGAACTCTTATTATATTTTATTAAATATTAAGTGCTATGTAATGATTTCTATTAGTTCTCTTTTGAACTGATACAGAAATTATTGCTAAGAATAATCCTTGGACTAATTTGGATAATAATCTTCAGTGCTATCCCAATGAATGGATAAAAACTTTAACACATTAGGTACTGAAAAGCAACTCATACATAGGCAATTCTCTGCAATATAATTCTCCTGGGAAAGAACATTTGTCCATGTAAGCAGGAAGAAGACATCCATGAAGCTTATACTGTATCTTCTTCCAATCTATATTCAATCTAATGCTACCAATTCAGATTCGGTTTTCTGTATTCATTGTAGTCAACCAGTTTTGAAAACAACAACAAATGAATAAGTGGATGACACTTGACCGTTGAAACATACAAAATTTTGGCATGTACACTTAAATTCAGAAAACTGACAAACTGAAATGTCTTAAGTGCAGTTACTGATTGTAAATCTATACATACTGCAATAAGTGGAATTGTGATCTTGTACAGGCAATCCCAAAAGAAAAAAACAGATGAATATATAAATGAGATTTTATTAAACTAGAGATCACTATCCCTAGCTCCCATATCAATCAAGCAACATTCTTGTCCCTAAGAGTTTGTAGTAGGAATTCTTATGGTATGCAGAACATAAACTAACTCCAGGGAGCAAATAAGTAGATTCAAAGTTTGGAAAGGATAAGAAGGCATTCACAAATTCATTAAAAATTGTGAACAGTTAAAAAAAAGACTAAGGAGAGATTATTTGCCTAACATGATATTCTCACATTTTCCTAACGTGTATTTTTTTTTCCTTCCTAGAGTTTTTTCCACAAATGCAGGATCTGTTTTTTGGGGGGAAGGGGGAGTTGATCAGCCGAGTGTTGATCCATTGTTTATATCAGGAATTGACTGACCAAACTGGCTCTCATTTTCCTAATACGGGCAGTCTTCAACTTACAATCACAATTGAGCCCAAAACTTGTGTTGTTAAGTGAGATAAATATTTAAGTGATTTTTGCCCCATTTTATGATCTTTCTTGCCATGGTTGTTAAGTGAATCACTGCAGTTAAGTTAGTAAAATGGTTGTTAAGTGAATCTGGTTTCCCCTTGACTTTGCCTGTCAGAAGGTCTCAAAATGTGACCATGACCCCAGGACACTGCAACTGTCATAAATATGAGTCAGTTGCCAACCATCTGAATTTTGATCAAGTGATCATAGGAATGCTGCAATGGTCATAAGTGTGAAAAACAGTCGTAAGTCCCTTTTGTCAGTGCCGTTGTAACTTTGAACAACCACTAAATGAATTGTTGTAAGTCAAGGACTACCTGTATGTAGTAGTCCTTGACTTAGTAGTCCATTATTAAATTAATTCAGAAACACCGAGTTAACCTATATATTGACTGGACTGATGACTGTTTTTTTAGTTTTAAACTATTTTCCTCCTCTTTAGTTTCAATGGCTCCCATGATGTAACAGACAAAAAAGTAAATTTTCCTGTGGGAGGGGCAATAAGACCAAAGATGAAAGCCAAAATTATTGGAAATCCTCTCATAAGGTGTTTTTTTTTTTTAACCTCAAAAACCAATCTCACTATGAAGCAGTAAAATTAAATTTACTTGCCTGGTCCACATCACAAGCAAGTCGAAGCAGTATAGGAAACATATGTTTATACAAATGAAACATTGGTGGGGAATTCTCGTGTCCTTCAGGTATTTGAGAAGCTTTTCCCAGCATGAACATAACAATGCTATGCAACAACTCACAAGCTGCAACCTGAAAAATGTGAGTACTGATCAGCTACTAGATTGGATTGTTCCAAATTAACTTATTCAGCAAGTTTTATTTGATAAAAATAAGATTTAATGTGAAAGAATTTGTTACAACTCTAAATCTTTAATTTTCCTTTAAAACATACAAACAATACATAGACAGGGATTAATATTTCACCAAATAATTAACATCTTTATCCTGCAATTAGAAAGCTGGGGTGAGTAATGCTTACACTGTTGGACATGTGCAGGAGATAATCAGGTTCTACTTTCTATCTGCCCACGGAATTCACTGGAACATTCTGGTTTCTGTCAGCCCAACCTATCCCACAGAGTTGCTGCCGTTAACCGTAAAAATAGGGCAGACCTCTATGTATATCACCATGAAGTCTCTGAGAAAAGGCAGGATATAAATGCAACAGCAATAGCACTTAGACTTATATACCACTTCATAGTGCTTTACAGCACTCTCTAAGTGGTTTACAGAGTCAGCATATTGCTCCAACAATCAATAAGTAAAGAATGCCACTGTGTTCAAAGATCTTCACAGTTTATACTGATAGAATATTTATCTGTATCATTCATATCTGGATTACTTTTAATGAACCATAGCCTCAATCCAGAAAAAAATAGTTCAACAGGAAAAGAATAGAACAAAAAGATTCAGCCTAATACCTTAGTTTGTCTGTCGCTAGCACAAAGAGCCAATTCGGTGACCCGAGGCAAGAATAAATCCAAGTATATTACAGGCTTCATATCAGCAAATGGAACTGCAAAATTCAGGCGCTTCTCTATATCCCAGGATACAAATTTCTTCATTTTTTCCTCTGCAGAAGTAGCTGGTACATTTAGAAAAGAATGTCTGGTTGAAAAATCAAGGACTGGCTTATCTGCAGATTAGTTTACACTTGAGTATGTACGATATACAACTCGAGGCAGCTTTCAAACAGTTAACACAAATCTAAAACCACAATACTAGTAAAATTTAAAACAAGAGAAAAATATAAAAGCTTACAAATAAAATTGCTACCTGTAATTAAATACCGATTTATTTGTCCTCCCAAAGTACCAAGAAGGCGTACAACTCTAGCTCTTACTGCCTCTAAAGACGGATCTTCCTCCTAAACCATAACAACAATACAATGAGAACATGAACAGCTTAGAAGGTTTAAAACCACCCCAAACATGCTATTCTGGTGTAAGATTAGGCAACAGAGACACAAACTGGGAACACCTGCCAGGAGACTATTACAGTAATAAAGGCATAAATAACCAAAGCATGTACCAATGCTGCAACCATTTCCTGTGTCAGAAACCACTGAAACCCACAAATATTCCTGGAACATCTTAAATTTATTTATCAAATTTAGAAAGTTGGCAACAGAAGTGGTTTTATAAAATTGACTTTGGCCTTCAGATAATACATGTATAAAGCGTTTTTCAAAACAAAAATCAGAAAAGTACATTCTCTTCTAATTTTATAAACCTTCAATATTTCATAGACAAGCTCTGTCAGAAAGATCTTTCTTTAATATTGTAAATTTTGAAGCCTTTTAGGAATATGCTATTCTTTGATTTTGGCAGAATGGAATATTTATTGATTCTGGATATTGCAAGATCAAACCAGCAAATATAATTTTATTTGTACGAGATTTTAGCCTATCTGAGGATAAGGTATTCTATAATAAATCCATACATAGTCCTTTACTACTATCAATGAAATCTAACGTGAGACACTGACTGTTTACTGAGAAATTCTAAGCCTTAATATGTAAATTCTATTCAAGGCTTATTTACATAATAAATAAAATTAGCTTTTATTGAAATAATAAAACCACCTATCACTTTTCCAAATGAAAAGCTGGTATTTTAGAAAGGCAGAAAAATTCTTTACCAAATCAAGATTCTTTGATTTTTTGAGATGCTGAATTACTACTTTGTTCATTCCTTTCTGGATGGCTTTGGAAAGTTTCTTCACTTCCCAATTATTCTGAGATTCACCTATTTTAAAGAAAAAAAGTGAACATTTAATATGCAAGAATAAAATAAATCTTGAAAGGTCTGCATTTATGATTTTTTCAAGAAACTAATATAAAACTCAAAGCCCCCCAAATACACTAGAAATGACTGACTACATACACCTTCCACCAATGCTATTATAAACAGCCACTGAGTGGTGCTACAGAAAATCAGAAAGCTGAAATACAGCCCTTTACCCCTCAGACATTGCTCACTCCAAGACTATTCAGTAACACATGAATGATGCTAAAACATCTTCATATTCCTAGATTTACTGCAGTAAATATTTAGGATGTACATTATTTTTACCTGCTGATGCAGAAGTTTTCAAATAACCATCAAGGCAAGGCACAATGTCTTTGTAATAAGGCTGAATAGTGTATCTGGGAATGTGGGCTGACCAGTCCTCCAGTGCATCCAGTGCCACATCAGCCATTGGAGTGTAGCTAAGACCCAATCTAAAAGCATTCTGTAGGTAGTGCATAATGTCAAGACTTAGAAGTTTGGAGATATAAAACATCCATACTGTCCTGAAGTTATCTTTGACTACACAACGGACTATTTTCTTAACTATTGCTACAAATATTTAAAATGTTAAGGTTGCTAAGAGACTTGCTCCTGGAATAAGGTGCGATTAAACCACAGAATCAAATAGATGTGATAAAACTAAAAAATCACATGTAACAGGCATACAAATTTATCATTCACATTTTGGACTTTCTCACTGATTTGCTCACTGTTGTGATAGTAATATAAAGAGGACTGCAGTCCTGCATGCGTACCATTGAAGTATCATGAAAAGATATTTTGTATAAGTGAAATGAAGGAAAGAATACCAACAAAATTACAAAATAAATATTCTGCATTATTCGATCCCACATTAACCCACCTGTAAAGCAGGAATGTATGCTTTGATATCAAGCATAATGATGTCATATGGCAGAGAAAGCACAAAAGTCAGACAGGACGCTAATAATTCATCTTTGTACTGCTTCATTTTTGCGGTTACCTGTGATAAGAATTTTTTTCAATCCAAAAAACATTGATGTTACCTGAACGAATAAATGTAACACATAATTCACTGTACTTCAAAAAAGAACTGTACTTCAAAAAAGTATTCTTTTAAGATAAACCCACAAAAGTGTTCTTTTAACTAAAATCAACACTTCATGCATTTAAAGTTAAGAGAAATTATAAATGAAAAAGTGATAAAGTTAGAATTCTTTGCCTTTTTCATCCCTGCAAATGCTACTAGCACAGTTCAAAGAATAATATAAATAACCTCTTTTCCAAATTTGGAAAATAATGCAAAACAGGAACTCTTCTCTGGATCTTCAGGACATGTTTTCTTACTCTTTGGACTGACACCCTGGCAAAAGACAAAATAGGATTAACTGTATAAAAATCTTATGTTTAACGTTTTAAAAAAACCTTTTGGATAATGTAAAAATATTATGCAATTCCATATATCAAATAAAATATCCTTATATGTCATTTCCTTTGAAGACTGGAAGTTGGAATTGGTTTGGAATACAGTTAATTGCTCTTAGCAATTTTGCTAATTTTTAAATGAATTACCATGGCCTATGATTTCTTTCTGTGCATTACTCAAATACTAATGTTCTTATAAAGCCCTAAGAAAACTTATAGCAAGTATATCAAATGTCCCATTTGCTCATATATACAACACTACCTTCAAGACCCTGAAAAACATATGAGATAAGACTGATGAAGACTGAGTAGGGACTTCAGTGAAAAGCAAGGTCTTCTCAATTTTGACATCTTTTCTATAATGGAGCATTTGTCAATTTCAGCAGGCTTAAAATTTTTTTTTTTTAAAGTTTAAGCTTAAAGTGTTTCATGCTGAGAAACATGTTGTAAGGCACCTGTACTACAAGGCATGCATACAATAGCTACCTCAAGAATTTTAAAAATACTGCTATATATTTAAGCCTGCCACTGAGTAAAAGAATTTTAATATGGCACATTGACACGCACAACTCCTTTTCTGCTGCTTTATGTATTTATGTATTTAACAGGGTTTATAGACAGTTCAAATCACAGCCAACTATGAGCAGTATACAATTGTCCCTGGTTACTTGATATTTAAACAAAATACAATCAACAAGTCAGGGCCAAAAAATCACCATATAAGACCTTGGGAATAGTTGAAATCTATCTCCCAATTAAAACCATTTCCAATACTGTCAGTCTTCATTTAACTGGCTAGTTATCATTTGGTAACATGATGGTAATAAACAGTAAAAAATAATTAATTTTCTGACCAATGCCTACCTTTACAACCAAATTTCATGTGCCTGACAACAAAAGCCTTCAGCATGAAATTGATTAAGGTTTGGTCAATTTAAAGCAGCAGCTAATCAACTAATTATTGAACTTATTAGTTTGAGGTCAGCACTTTGTAAGGAAGCGTTCCGCTATGGAGAAAAGCAGTTCAGGAAGAACCTTGTTGTTCACTTAGCAATTTTTTTGCTCAACGACCAAGTCGTTGGAATGAAATGTTGTCACTAAACAAGGAAGGGGTTTAATGCTGTTTTAATTTTATTGCTTTGGTATGTAATAAACTTCTTCAGAAAATGAAAATAACAGAAGATGATTGTAAATAACTATTTATTTGTACCCCAGCTTTATTATTTTTATAAATAGCTTAAGGCAGAGGACATATCCAATACCTTCCTCCTCTTATTTTCCCCTGGATTATAAAAATCCAAATGATACAAATATTTGCAAAACCCCAATTGACAGATTATGCATCAATCATCAGAATTGCTCCTAATCTCCATCGGCCTGAACCATGACTAACTCCTGTGCCTGAAATGTTTATAATTCATTTCAAACTTGTGATTAATGTCAAATCCTGATTAGAAAATAACAAATATACTTAATGTGATAAAGAAATAATATGAACCATATATAGGTTCAGTGGGAGAAGAGAAAAGGGGGTAGAAAAACAGCTCAATCCTACTTTTCTCTTATAAAAATGAAGTAATCACAATTATATTTAAAATATGAAGGTGTGAACAGACCAATGCAACTTCAGGGATTCCTTAAACCCACTCCCCTAAAAAAAATAATCCCGCAATGGCTTACTTACCACAAAATATTTAGTCTTCTTTGCAATTTTCATCGCAATAGACAGCAGCTTATAAAATCCACTAATAAAAGGTAAATGCGTTGCCTGTATAATCAGCTCATAACCAAATGAATAAATCCATGGTTCAAAATATTTAATATGCTTGTCTGGAAGGATCTCTCTGTATAAGTTTGGAAACAGGACCAAAAACAAATAGACAAGAAAGTGATGAGCAATCTGACCAATGATCAGTTAAAACAATTCTCAATAACCCCCCACCTAGGAGGCCCCAATCAACCAAAGAGTCAAACACAACTATTTCAACTATTTTAAAAAATCCTAAATAAGTACATTTGTGATGCTTTGCCAGGATATGGCTTTTTAGTTAAGAATGATAAAAACACAGTATATTAAATGATGCATCTTGCACAATATGCTAGTTTTTTTAGTCCTATTATACCTGCAAAATTCCACTAAGTTAATGAAGGCTGCATAGTCTTTAGGCTTAGATGGCTGAAGGTTTGCAGCTGGATCAGAGGTAGGAATTGTCAGATGGGCATCACCTTCACTTCCATCCTGAGAAAAGAGTATCAGAAGCAGTTTTGGAAGTGATTTTCAAGTTTGCCATAAAATCTATTTTCAAGTTCTTGCAAACTTCTCAAATAAGAACAAAAATCCAATAACAGACCTTGAAAACAATAATATGGAAAAAAGACTGAATAACTGTATATTAATTTTTTTTAAAGTAAATCCTACCTTTTCTTCATTAATGTTCTGTTTCTGAACCGTAAGGTCCAGTTTATCAATTATTTTTATGATAGATTTTATGAGTTCATCATATAACAGACGATTTAGAGACTGTAGTGGTGAATTTTCAGTTAGACAGGCTTCATCTGCCAACAGGATATCCTTTAATAGGGAAGGAAATAAAGAAAACTGCAATTGCACACTATATTTGGTTTTCGCTAATTTATTACAAAATGCAAAGATTAAAATAAATGATACATATATAATCCCAAACATAGGAGTTCTACAGCTCTGTTTTGATCAATGTATTTATGGCATTGTATTTCAATGTTTGTTTACCACAAGACTGCCTATATTGCATATACAAAAGTACTGGAGAGGCCATTTGTGTTCATGCCCAGCTAGTGTGATCTTAACATCTATATGAGACTTCAGATATATTGAGCTGGACATGAGGAAGAAGACTTTGAACAACTATAATCTTTTATAAGATGAAGGTTGAAAGAATGAAAGTGTGCGCCAGGAGACAAAAACTATACGTTTTTTTCAAAAGAAATTGTATCACAAAGTGTAACAATGTATTAATTATTAATTAACCTTAAAAGATTTTCTTTACCTTCATTGTATCGCAGCTAAGTAAGGTTCTAAAGAGAACCAGGTAATCTTTGTATGTAGGCACTTTCCATTTCCCAGTCCTTACTTCTCCAGATGAATTTGATTCTTCTGATTTGGAAACATTTTTCCCAAAAAAATCCTGAAAGACATTGCAATGTTGAAGTAACCCTAAGTAAAATTATGTAGTTTTCCATACTTAATCTTAGACTCCATGACAATAAAGCAGGAACATTTTGCCAAGACATATTGAAATATTCTTTGAAATGCATTCATCTCAGGAACAAATAACTGGTACAGTATAAATTAACTGAAAAGAGCTGAATGGTTCTTAATACATCTGCTAGGGTCCCTATTTATGTTTCTTGCAATAGAAATCAAGAGGGTTGCATTAACATATAGGCAAATGAAAGTTATAAATTGATACAAATAGTCTTTGAGTTATGATCATTTGTTCAGTGGTACTTGTGTCTGGTCCCCAAAGTTATGGCCACTGCAACAACTCCATGGTCACATGATCAACATTTGGGGATTTGCAGCCTGCCCGTACTTACAACTATAGGGGTGCTTCAACTCCCCAATTCACCTATCTCCAGCTCCTTCTTTGCCTCTTTGGCCACCCTGTACAGTGGCACTCCTCGGTGGCAGTACTGGGCTGAACTCTACTAAAAAATTAGGGGGGGTCTCTTCTGAGCCTTTTGCCCACCCTTTATCCAACTGTGGACTATGCTGTCTCTTATCAGACTATTCCTAGGCAACATCTCTGGAACCAACCTCCCAAAGTCATTCCTGCATATCAGTACACTACATTCTAAAATTTCTAGTAAGGGAGAACATTTTTGCAATTCATAATTTTGCAGGGCCCCTAAATTGCAAATAAGTACTTTTCCAATTCTGTAAATACACATTTAATTCCACAAAACCCCAATAAACTTACCATTGAAAAAACCAGTGGTTTTGAACAGATTCTGATTAAACCCTGATGCACTGAAAATGAAGAGAGTTTGTTTTAATTTAGTATTTCAATAAGCTGGACTCAAGTAATACTGCTAATGTCCTAATGCAACAAATATTCTATGTTCCCATTACAGAGGGGAGACAGATATTGCAATGATCAATCTGCTGTACTTCTCTGAAGCCTAAATATGAACCCAATTTTATGGCAGACTTTTGCAACAGATAGTCTTTGGCTTATGACCACAATTGGGACCTGAATATCAATGGCTAAGCAATGTGGTCATTAAGTAAATGCAAGCCAGTTGCCAAGTGCTCAGATTGCAATCATATGATCATGGGAGTGGTGCAAGAACTGTAACTTCAAGGATGCAATGCAAGCCATTTTGTCAAGGCTATAGTAATGTTGAGCTATTGTTAAACAAATGGACATAAGTTGAGGACTACGTATACTCAAAATAACATTTTACAATGTCAACTTTGCACTAGTCACTGAACTCAAAGAAAATGAAGTAAACTTCTAAAAACTCTGCTTCTCTTTTTCACATTGACAATGATGAATCTTAAAATGGTATCTTAAAATGGTCCAGTTGTTCTGAACAAGATTTACAGCATCCTTTATCGTGTTGAACTAGCCATTATCACTGTAAGTTCTAAGCCCTTTTGCATGTCAACACATGGAACGTATTTCCTTGACTTGTCAGACTATCAACTTCATTATTTGTTCCCTTCCCACTAATCAACTGCTAATTTCTGACTGTATCAATCACCCTAATTGTAGACAAGAAACGTTCCCCCTTCTTATTTCCAGATTGTAAGAAAATAAAATGTTAAAAAAGCGTTTTCTGACCCAGAATCTTGCTGGTAATAAATCTTTGTCTACCTCCTATCCAGAACCCAGTCTAAGCAAAACTAAACTAGGATGGAAATATGGAACCTCTTATCTTCTAGCACTTAAAAATAGGGAAAATGTCTGAGTCAAAAGAAAACTATGACAAGTAGCACTAGAAACTGGAATTAGTACAAAACTCTAAGCCAAGATTTTAAAATGTTTGCTGCATAAGCCATAATGTTCACATATAATGCTTAGTTTACTCAATGTTCATTTATTTGGTTAAGCCCAAATCAAACTTCATTATAGTATAGGGAGCCCTTTTGTTACAAGAATGAGGAAAAGCAAAAATAAGTGAAAACTAATAATTAAATCATGACTGACAGGGAGGAATTTAAAAAAATAATTGAAAGGCAACAAAGTAGCATCTTCCAAAATGGTGGAGAGCATGATGGGAGTTTGGGAAAACTGTTTCAGAAATTAAAATCCAAATTGAAGGGTTGTACTAGAATAGGAGTAGGCAACCTCGACTCTTTTATGACTCATGGACTTCAACTCCCAGAATTCCTGAGTCAGCTATGCTGACTCAGGAATTCTGGGAGTTGAAGTCCATGAATCATAAAAGAGCCGAGGTTGCCTACCCCTGTACTAGAAGATGCAAAACTTTAATGTAACAGTATATTCTAATTGCTGCAAAAGTTAAATAGTAATTATCAGGAAATGCCTAAGCTTACTATTACTACTGCTTCTTTAAATTTGTAATGCTATTCAAACCTAAATTCATACTGAAGTCAAAGGAACTATATACATTTGTACACTACAGGATACTCACCGACAGTGCTCATAAAACTCCACAATACAGGGCCTTTTGCTGCCAAAGCTAAAAATACTTTCACAATAGACCTACAACATACTGTTTGCATCTTGGTACTATATTGTGGGAAGCTATCTATTTGTACTATTATAAGACGTTCAAGAACTGGAGTGTATATCTCAGGAATCTAGAAGAAAAACAAGAGGAGATGTTAGAAAAAAGCAGTTGCCTTTGTTCTCAAATCTGTTGTATTTTTCAACCCAAAAAAATTATATCAGCATGTTCATCAATGGAGGTCCAGATATTTCCTGAACATACACATAGCCTCACAAATTAGGTTTAAACGGCTTACTTACAGCATCCAAGTGGAATATAACACTTGCAATGGATTGAAGGAAGCTTGGTAGTTGATATACATGGTCATCAATTGTTTCTGCCTCAGTTAGATACATCTGCTTACAGCGCTGAAGGAGTTCGACATACATGAAATCTACATCCTTTGGTCTGATAACTTTACAAGGCTTTAAGTGGAGAAAAATACAAAAATTATTATGTAGGGTTAAGGTTAGGAATATGCAAAACTCATCAATTAGGGAATGGACAATTCTGGACTGTTTTACTCCTCTTATGGACCATGTCAAAATTTCTTTAGAAATTACTAAGTTATTTATTAATGTATATCGTCCAAAAGCTATTTCACATGATCAGACTTCTTTGAAATGTTCTATTCAATATTCAGTAGAAGTAATTTGATACAGAAAATCCAGAGAAATGTACAAACCGGTCTCTAAGACAGTTTGTTTAAAACATATTCTACCTATCAAATAGAGGTAGTCCTCAACTTACAATAGTTCATTTAGTGACCATTTGAAGTTACAACGGCACTGACAGAAGTGACTTATAATCATTTTTCACACTTATGACCATTGTGGCATTTCCATGGTCACATGATCAAAATTCAGACATTTGGCAACTGACTCATATTTTTGATAGTGTCCCAGGGTCATGGAATCACTTTCTATAACTTTCTGACAAGCAAAGTCAATGGGGAAGCCAGATTAATACAACCGTGTTACTAACTTAACAACTGCAGTGATTTACCTAATAATGCGCAAATTTGAAGATTAACACAAAAGAACTTAAATGGGATATAACACAATATCTAAAGAATATCATTTTTTCTTTCAACTTTCTGCATAATCAAAACCTTTAATATAATCTTGAATTTATTATATTGCTTTGAATTTCAACATCTAGCTGGAATGAATTCCTAACTGCATAAAACTACAAGAATCAACAGCATCCTGTGCTATTTGAAAAGTTCTTTCTCAATAAGTCTCCTAAAGCAAGTTAAAAAAACTATACAGGTAGTCCTCGAGTTATGAGTGTAATTGAGCCTGCACATTCCACTTGTAACTTGAAAACTCATAGAGTGAATCTCATACCTCAAATGAGATTACTCCCTTGCTCGTTAAAACGCACGCGGCTCGTTAAGCGAACATGAGGTATCTCAGGGTGGGGAAGGCCATGGAGGGCCTAGTGATGGAACAGGCCCCCAAGGTCTCCCTGACCCACTAAGATACTGCATGCTTCCCCCTCCCTTCTTGCTGGACTCCCCTGGAAAAGATCTGTCTCCTCTCTGTTGCAGTTCCTGCTGCTGCCCGGATCTAAGGCCATGGAATACTTCTGCGGCCTGATCCGGACTCCAGAGGTCTTTTCCAGGCTGCTGCCACCCGGATTTGAGGCTGGGGGACGCTTCCACGCACCGCCGCGGCCCGATCCGGGCCTGGAAAACGGCCTCTGGAGCCCCGATCCAGCTTCCAGAGGCACGTGGAACCATTCCCCAGCTTCAGTTTCATTCTCTGTTGCAGAGAACAAAGGCCTAAAGTAGCATAAGATCACACAAGATCACTGTCTTGCGTGATCTTGCATTATTTTAGGCCTCCATTCTTTGCGAACGCACCGAAGGCGTGGAGCAGCCAAGAAAGCGAAGGATCTCGATCCTCGCAGGTTGAGTATTGAAGGCCTGGTGCCTAGGGAGACCCAGGGGAGGGTGGGAATAACCAGGGTGAATGTTGCAGAGCCACTATGATCGCTTGTAAGGGCGAATGACTGCCATGGTGCTGCAATATTCGTAACTTCGGGACTTGCTTGTAAGCACTAGGGGGCGCTCATCACGTAACTTTGAACGAGCATTAAGTGAACGCTCATAACTCGGGGATTACCTGTAGTTTGGAACAGAAGGCACCTGTGTCTTCTACACAAAATGAAGTATTTATAAAAGGCCTTCATGACTATCGATTTCTAATTTAATAGCTGTATCAAAGAACATGTTCAAAATTTATACAGTAATCTTATATTTTGTATATAAGGGAAACTTAAATTTAAAGAAAAAGGGGAAATTCTTAGTTAAAAATCCCCTAATTGTTCCTAGCAGAATTTTACTTGTAGTACAGCATAGCAATTAACAAGATTTCTATATGGGATTAAGAAATCTTTGGTTGAAATATTAAAGAAGATGTTAAATTATTGAAAATGATTGTACTTGTCTTTCTGAAGATGGAAGTCATTTCTTTTTAGGTTTTTTCTTTATTCTTCTTTTTAATATATTTTTCCCTTTTTGCCTTCTCTCCCTCTCTTTTTTCTTTTTCTCTTTGCACTTTTAATCTTTTTTAAAATATTTTTCTTAGTATGTATTGGTTTTTTATCTTTGTATTTTTAAATTTCATTAAAACCTTATAAAAATTAACAAAATTTCTATAGAAAATGATCTGCCAGATATATAAATAAAACCTTATTCCCATTTGTAGCACTGCATTCCTTCAAAATAACTTTATATCATGAAGAAAACTACGTACCGCTGCAAATAGTCCATAACCACGAATAGCAATGGACAGTTCTTTGTTGCTGGCATCCATATTTCTGATGATAGCATAAAATTGTTCCATAAAGAATTGCAACTTGCTCTTATGCATTTCAACATCTTTGGCAACCATTGATGAAATCTTAAAATCATATATAAAATTAGCAATTTTATCATTTAAATATTCAAATATTTTCCAATCTTACATTATCTATCATTAACACTGCTATTTTCCCCCAAAATTATGTAATAAAATGCTAACACATTTGAAGGAACAAGAAGCAACTATTAAGAAGCCTACAATCTTACAGGCCATGAAATCAGATATCGTCTAAAACAGGGGGGTCAAACTGCCAGCCCACGGGCCGGTTGCATCATGCAGAGGTCACGCCCACCCCAGCCCCGGCAATGCAAAAAAAGTCACAATACGTCGCGACACATCATGTGACGCAGTGAGTTTGACACCCGTGCTCTAAGACATGAAAGGAAGATCTGCCTTTAAAAGTGTGAATAAACTCTGGATGACCATGCCTTCATGGAACTCTGAACCCAGTCTAATATTGACAAACATAAAAGGAAAGAGATAAAATATGGTTACCATAGGTAGATTTTGAAAATTTTTGAATTCATTGGTCTAAAGCCATTCTATTCTTCTTGAAAAATGTATGCCAGGCTAGAGCTAGTATGCATAACTCATTTCTTACTAGTTAAAACAAGGGACAAACTTACATGTAGACAATTTCACTATAGTATTTTCATTCTAGGAATTCTGCCAGTGAACAGCTGTATTGTACCTGTTTAAGAAATGAATCCAACGCACAATGACCAGCTTTCTTGAGTTCTGCATTTTGATGGCCACTCCATTTGGACATTGTTTGAAACAATGAGACATAATTGTCTAAAAGATAAGTGCTGAACTGAACAGCATGCTTACTGAATAAATGTAGACCAGCTGTAAAGTAAACATTTTAATTTACATTGACCATTTTGTTTCAATTATATCCAAAATATTTTCATAACTGATTTTAACAGTTTTGAATGATTATTTATTTCTAGTATTACTTTTGACTAAATTGTTCAATTATTTTATTTTTAAATATTTCCTTGCAAAAAAAATCCATATGACATATCTTTGTCTTTTCTAAATGGAAGGCACATGTCAGCCTAAGCTAAACTGTTATTATACCGGAAAATAATGAAGCTGAAATTAAAACTATCTAAAGAATATAAACTCAATATGTTATTACAGAAACTATTTTGTCAGCAAAGAACTATCTCATAAGAAAATAAGAAATTCTTACCAAGAGGCACTGCATATCTTTTTAAATCGATCTGCAATTTAAAAGGTTCAGAATAAGAATAGTTTGCCAAATCTGCTTAGCATGTCAGAATCTTATTTTAAGAAGATATAAAAGAGACACTATATATACCTGTGGACTTATGGCCTTCACTGTAAAATCAAAGATCTCTTTTGAAGTTCGAGGATCTGTAGAAAAGAGACAAACCATACAAATACAGTAATGACAGAGTTGTGTGAATTTAAATCTTTCCTCACAGGACATAAAAGTCAGATATCAACAATACTTTATTCCACCTTATTGCTTTGATCAACAAGGACTTCCTAACAAACTAAACCAAAGTAATCCATCATGTTTATTTACCATAGAAATAGGCCCTGGTTAACAAACAGTAATTGGGATCAGAATTTCCATTGCTAAGTGACATGGTCAGAAAGTGCAACAGTGTGTAACTGCATCATAAATCCTGGCATTCCCCATTGCCATTGATAATCAAATTCCACCAATCATTAGAACAAGGACCCACTCCAATCCAAGGCATTCCCAGCTTGGTCCATTCTACTTTTGCTATTGCAGGAAACCACTGAAAATCTCCACACAGATGCACCATAAAGCCTAGAAAATTATCAGAATAAACTGTATAGAACAACTAGAAGTTTTAATTTATACCAGTATGTTCTATTCTACTCTAACATTTCCCAATTTTACAAAACCTTCAGAAAACAAATCCAAACATTATGAAATGTCTGCTAATCTGCTTTAAGATTCTAAGAGAACTAATTATTTGGAAAGGACACTAAAAATGCAAATATTTTTTAAAATCTAAAAATAATTTTAGAAAAAGGAGAAAAGCAAAGTATACACCTACATTACAACAGATTAAATAAAGTAAATTAAGGCTATTCCAATAAAACAAATTGCCAAGATCAAAAAAGTCACAAAATCGCCTTTTATGATTTTAAATATTTGTAGGCTTCTTTTATACATGAATTAATCTAGGAAAGTATCCATAAGTTTGTTTTATATCAATTCTTCTCAAATTGATAAACCAGTTTTAGTATTAAAACAAAGCAAGAAAGTAATTCATGGAAAGTTTCCATAATTTATAAGCTTTCAATAAGGCTTTTCATCTTAAATATGTGTGCAAATTATTCAACATTGAGATATTTTTTTTTACCACAAATTTGGTCATTTCCACTTTATTGAAAGAGGTCTGATCTTGAAACAAATTATTCCAAACAGTGAAATGAGATTTAAATAGGATGGTTTGGGGCATAAACTTTCCACCCTTAAGAGATTTAACCTTTTTGGTGAAAGGCAATTTTATACAGGAAGAAAATTGTACACTTTTTTGTTATTCGGTTATTTTAGTAAAATAAAGATTATACCTTCATCCATGGATTTGGTAAAATTATACATAAGTGCAGTCAGTCCTTTCAGACACCCTGCTACAATAGAGAACTTTGGTTGTCTTGTTGCAGAGGTCATCTGAAAATGAGAAAATATTCTATTAAAACAAGAACAGAGAAGGTCTAAAGTAACAATAGTAATAAAAATCAATATTTTAGCAATGCATCTATTGTAAGATTATGGAATAAATGTGGTACTTCTGATGTATAACTGGGTACCAAAAAATCATTTCTTCACTATTATTTAATGTAGGATGAATAATCCAGAAAATGTTGACATATAAATAACCAGTAAATCATACAGGGTTGTGATAGCACTAACCAAGTTCTTATCAAATGCCTTTAAACTTCCCAGGAACTTACATATAATTTCTAACACATTTACAAAAATATTTAACATCTTTTTCACCTATTCATATTTTAATACCAGCTATGCAAATTATTTTTGCCCATCATTATATAGAAAAAATTAATCCAATCAAATATACAGGTTTCTGAATTCTCATTAAATTTTTTAAAAATGCTAGATGTGTTTACAAAAACATAGCAAATATCTCACTAATTCAATTTGCATTAATTATAATTCTCACTTCTGCCAATTATTCTCATACTGAAATTTATAAAAGAAAATGTACAGGTCCAAAATTAAAACACTGTGATGGCCTTATTAAATAAGCTTCATTAATACTGAGCAATTGGACCAGCCTGGAAACCTGCAGTACATATACATCAAAAGCATACATGGAAAATATATATTCAGTTTTATACAATGAACTGGAATAGCCCATTAAAACTTATATCATAATAAAACAGTAATATATGAGGTATTGTCACCATTGTCAACACTTTTAAGAAATCAACCTCAACTTTCCATACCAAATGCAAAACTCTTTCTTACCTGTATTTTTAATTCTCCCAGATAAGCACGGAATAGTTTTTCAGAATTGTCAATCATTTCACTAGGTTGAACTTCTCCCAAGACTCCCAAGAGCTCATAAATCCTTTCCAACACTTTTTTAAAAAAATAAAAAATTAGCATTTTAATCAATTGATTATATTTTATTTGATGTCAACTACCCCAATTATTTTCCCCCTATCATCAAATGTAGAAGGATTTAATTCAAAGCAACATACAGATTTTCAAGTTCTTACCAGCATTCACATACATTGTTCTGATCGGTACTAATCTCATTGTATATATGTTGCTACTCAGTTATACGATTTCTAAAACTGGGTTTAAAAAAACCCTAGAAATGCACTCCTGCACATCTGCAATGATTACTTCCCAAAGAAGTTCAAGTAGCTGCTTAGTTTTGAAACACGTAACTTCAGCAAATAACTATATTTGAGCCCTCTCCAAATCCCACCTCACCCCTCAGCTTTCTGAATTGATCTTGCTTGCCAGACAAATCACAAATAAACTTGCTAAAAGATGGTACACCTATTGCTCAGGTTTTCAGCAATAACTTTTTAATGACTCAGGGAAGAAAAAGAGCATGTGAAAAGATATTAAGCCAGAAACCAACAGAATACTCTTCTTCTTCCAACTACATTTTTTCCTGGGAAGAAAATGTTACAACTTATTATCATGCCATGTTCCTCGGGCTGGTCTCTTTTGCAACACCTGGGGAACAAATCTTGATGTCTGGCACATTTTAAAAAAAAATGTTAAGTTGTACATGAATTTTAAAAACAATTAAGTAGGAATAAATTTGTACAAAATCAATGTCACGTAGGGTCACCATCATTCCTTGCTTACAATACTACTTACAACTTATTAGAGGCTTACTAGAAACTTTTTGTCAGGATATATCTCAACTGATTTATTATTTGGGACACTAGCTAATTTACGATACTTGCTAAATACCTTTTAATCTTAGTTACTGACAAACAAGTTAAATATTACCTGTATCAGGCACTTTGCTTTTTATAGCAAGTTCTCCATAAAATTTGTTAAAGATTTCTCCAACTTTCATGTCTTCCATTACATATGATGATTGTAAATTCTGAAGCAGCTACAAAGATATTCAATAATCAACATTCCAAGGGTTAGAATGGTAAATAATTTTTTAAAGTACAGCAAAATATAAAAACATGCCATCAATTTTACCTTGATCAATAGCTCTAGAGCTGGAATTCCACATTTTGCTGATCTGCCTTTTGTATAAACAGTAACACATATCCGCTAATTTTTTAAAAGACAAAAAAGATATTATATAACGATACAACCAAAAGCCTCCAACTTAAATATGGAATTGGTGATGTAATTTTTCCCCATTATTTTACTTTATTCAAAAATATTAAAACACCTAAAGATACCAATGCAAATTTGTTTACCCACATAATAATTTTGAATATTGGAATATTTCACATCCCTCGGTTGCATTAATCAAAAGCCAGGTTGTAGCAATGTTTTTTCTGTACATTTTGGACTAAATTAAATCTTCTCTTTTCAACAGTGGAGAGTGTTCATAAATAGACATCCATTCAGAACATCCCAGTGGTAAAAAGAGAATATGAAATTGATGGACATCTATTATTCTATCTGGAAGCATTAACAATATTAGAATATTATATTCTAATTATGGTAAATACTATTAACATTAATATAAGATTAGAACAATATAAACAATAACACAATAGTACAACTTCTAGATTGAGACAGAAGGTTACAATCACAGTTGATTGTTCAGACCCAGAAGAACCAGCATGTTACACTTTTATATTAAAAAGGCACATTCTGAAGATAAATTATGAAATTAAGATGAAGTACAAATTATTTCCTATTTTTCCGACCTCCATCCAAAATACAATTTTCATACCTAATCTGTTTCGAAGATGTAATGTTTTTCATTTGAGATACTTTAAATATTTCTCATGAAGTACAGGTAAGTAGTATCTCATGTTTGAGAAATTCAACTGAACAAATAATTTAAGAACTTCATGAAAGTAGTTAGCTTTTAAAATTACCATTAGTATTTTAATTTTAATATTAATTCTACTTTGCTCAGCAAATTTATCTAGTTTGACATAAAAAAAGTAAAATAATTTTCTTTGACTTACCTTTACATCTTGTGCATAAGGCTGAACTTTGAGGCCAATCTTTTCCACAAAGGCAAGAATAAATTTTAATGCTTCTTCTCTGCATTCTCTAAACTAAAATAAAATCATTAAGAATATATTCAGACAAAATAAGGCTTAATATCAGTCTTATGAAATGAACATATAAACACTGCACTCTCAGATCACTTACTTGCTACACACAGCTTTTGAAAAAGCAATTCAAATAACTTCCAACATAACAAAATGTACCTAATTTGTCTAGAAATATTACTCAACAAGGCAAGACTATTTAAAAAGTAGTTTCATCCCTAGATTTTTAACTTACATCTTCAACACTCAGCGACTTATGAATAAATGATAGTAGTCCATTTTCTTTAGAAAACACCAGTGAAATCTGCAAGGCTGAGGGAAGAATAAATGCAGATTAATATTTTAAAAAATTAAGCAAATACTCGACAGGTAATCCGTGACTTACAACTATTGGTTTAGCAATCATTCAAAGTTACAGTGGCACTGAAAAAAGTGACATGATCGATCTTCGCACTTATAATCATTGCAGCATCCCCATGGTCACATGATGAAAATTGGATGCTTGGCAACCGCCATATATATACGATGGTTACAGTGTCCCTGGGTTATATCATCACCCTTTGTTACTGTGGGAAGTCAGCTACCTGCCCCAGGAAAAGAAATATTTTGGGGAATATTAAAAAGGCAGAATATATTTCTCCAAAGGAATAATGAAGATCTTAAAAAAGGCAGGAAACATCTCCCTCCCCCTAGCCAGAAACTCAGCAGAAACCAGATCTGTAGAAATGCAGATGTGATAATCCTTTCAGAAAGGCTGGAGCCAGGAAGCTTGGAGTTTATGGAATTAGAAAGACAAAAGATCCCCAGAAATCAACAATCCCTCACCCCAAAAAATCCAACATAGGACATAGTCATCAGCCACAACCCCAGGGGAGCAGGATATGACCTTTGGGACATAATACAATTAACCCACCACCATTAGAATACCAGAAAGGCACACTGAACCTCAGGTCAAAATTCATGCCACAGGAACAGGAAACAACCTCAAAAGCCCAAGAAGGTATAAAAACCCACCACTCCCTGCTACATGTGGTCAGCTTTCCTAGAGTCACATTTCTGTCTGGCTCTGCTCTTCAATAAACTACAACCTTCTTTCTGAAGCAGTCTCCATTTTGTTTATTCCCGGCTTGGACTGGACCTGATGAAGATTTTTCTTTCAGCATTACTTTCCCAATAAGCTTCCAATAAGCAAAGTCACTTAATTATGCATGATTCACTTAACAATGGCAGTGATTTGCTGAACCATGGCAAAAAAGCTTGTAAAATCAGGCACAACTTATTTAATGACTGTCTTGCTTAGCAATGGAAATTCTGGTCCCAATTGTGGTCGTAAGTCAAGGACTATCTGTATTTCCAAATAAAGGGTTTCAGAATATAATACTATCCCTTTGAACGTAACAAAGAATGGCACCTTCAGGAAATACATGACATATTGGAACAAGGATTATGCACTTGGCTTTCTTTCAACATCACAGATGCAGGGGAAAATCTACACACAGTCTCTAGACAATTTCAAACCTTGCTTGGGTTTATTCATCATGCTAAATTAAAGAGTGGAGAATCTGCTACCACTGAAATGTGACTAGCCACTCATTTCATTCTCACAAATGTTCTCAGATTAGACTGAGAAACAGCAAGAGCAGAGAAGCACCTTCCAAGTCAAATCCATAGCTGGCTGAGCTGGATCTTTCCAACCCCAGTTCAACATTCTAACTTGATGTTTCTCAATCTTAGCAACTTTAAAGACTTCA